TCATTTCTCCAGGGGTAGGCTCTAGTTTCTTTGTAGAAAGACTTACTCGGCCTCTTTCACTGTTATCGGGAATCTCATTCTCGGTAATGTTTTATTACCAATAGTAGATTTTTTGGTATATTACCGGGAATGTCATTACTTCCATTCCCTTAGGTATTATAACATTACCGGCGTTTTTGGATTAAAATGCGCTTAAATTTTTATTTTTTTTCAAAAATATCATTCTTCTGTCATTGAATAATAAAAATTCTACGAAGATTAAATTACAAATTTATTCTTAAATTATTTTAGATTTACAAAAAAAAAATCTATAATTAAAATTTTATATAAGTTCAGGGATTAAATTTTTTGTATCATTTCATTAAATATTTTTTATATTTATAATTTTGTAAAAAAAATTATATAAATATTATGAATTTAATTTTTTAAAGAAAATATATAAATATTTTACAATTTATAATATTATACAAATATATAATAAGGATAATTTGGTCAAATATACATTCCAATAATCTTTTATTCCTTTAACCAAACACGGTAATCTTACATTCTTGCTAAACTAACCAAACACAAAATACAACATTCCCAGTAATCTTATTCCTTGGTAATCTTTTATTCACACTGGTAATCTTACATTCCGTGAACCAAACGCACCAGGTTAAAGAACTGTAGCAATATCTGAAACATGATTATGACTGATTTGACTGACATGAAGGAGGCCGTTAATTCCACCAATGTCAATGAATGCACCGTATGGTTTCAATCTATGAACTGCTCCAAGGACAACCGATCCAATTCCGAGCTGTGCCTGGCTATTGGCCATGGCCTTGCGGTTACTGAAGACAAGCCTGGACTGTTCCTCATCGACCTCAACAACTTCAAAGGGAGCTCCTTATCTAAAAGCTCTTCTGCAGTGGATTTCTGATGAGACATGAAAGAATCAATTTTACGATGGAGGATTCATAAAACCAAACTATTGGCACCATAAAGCCAGATATTGAATGCGAAATACCAGCCAACTTACTAGTGCAAAATTTTGACATCGAAGGGAATTTGGTAAAGTGAAATACAGCATATAGAAAAGACACGGTTGGGATCTCGTAACTAACCGACGATATCTGTGAGAAAGGAACGAACCCCCAAAGACCCTCCACCAATGCCACTACTCCACCCTTGTTTGCACCAACAATCTACTTCGTTCATTTAAAAAATAGTCGGAGCAGTGCGCAACAACGCTTGAATAATTATAAAAATTTTCAGGAAGCTCTAGACTCATAAGTGTTTCAATATTATTACTAAATTGGACACAAACATCAGAAACACGCACCTTGCCCTTCACGACAACATCCTCAGCTTGAAGTTGCCTGCATCTTTCCCAGGCAAGCTCATATTGAATGGACTGTGAGCTCAATATTAAGCTACATAGACCTCATTTCCACCGATAATTATAAATTCCTCCCTCAAACCAGGAACTATACCAGCTTCTTCTACATGTTTAATTTTATGAATGCTGGCCTCTTGGACCGGCAGATAAGTAGAAGATTTTGCAGTAATATCAACTAATGCCCCATTGGCATCTGTGCAGAAAACTGTTCCTTTAACCTGAAAACATATACATTTTCTTTATAAAAAAAATAAGCTGACCCTATTCCCATATGTAATGAGGGTAAGGGGGGAGGTAGGGTAGTAGGCTGTCTCAATGCAAGGTTGAAAGCAGTTTCCGTGAAAGACCTCCGTTATAAATTGCCCTCAGTGAAACTCGATCCCACAACCACAAGTAAAATTGTATAAGTTCGATTAATCTTCTTAACAACTAAGACCAAACTAACTCAAAATCCAACCAACTCCACCCTCAAACATAATTTCAACATGGTTCACATAAAACACCTCATCTGAGTTCATAACTTAACAAAAATCTCTATCACAACCCGGACAAACCCATCGGACCATATCACGAGAGCATAACCCGAAATTGTCCTCTTGGTACTAGATCCCTCATCCCTTCAATGTTTTGTCACCTTTAAGTGTGTCTCTAGAAATTCGAATCCGCATAACAAATGAGTGTACTAGTTTGTGTTCCCTAAAGGTGGCAAAATATCAAGAACCGGTGCGTATTCAAAGAGTATAATCCCGTATTATGTATTCACGATAAAGCCTAGCGAGCAAGGATGGACCGAGGGGTGCTGGGAGTATAGTCACACCTCTCAAAATTTTAAATTCTCCTATAATTCAGATATTTTATTTGTATTTTCTATTGATAATTTAATTTTACGTTTTAAAATTTTTTAATATAATTTATTAAGTTCATACCATGGACATAAAATATTACATCCGTCACTGATTCAATCGGATCGTGGCAATCTCAATCTTAATTTTCAAATGAATGGCCAGTAAAGTAAATACCCAGATCACAATATCCGCTATCAATTCTTTACTCAAGCTAATAGGATAAATTTCGAAACTTTGAATTAAACGAAAGAACAAAATGAAAAGAAGGGGGGGGGGGGGAAACACCTTGGCTCCAAGCTCAGAATCAAAGTCATTTTTTTCAAGAGCAATTTGGAAATCTTCAAGAGTGAAAGAAACGCCTTCCATAGGAGCATTCCGGTAGCGTTCGTAGGCATCCTCGAACATCTTCTTGAGTTCAAGCTTGTCTTTTGTTGGTGCATTGGAGATGCCGACATTGATATCGATACATTTCGATCCCAAAGAAATTCGAATTTGATAAAAATTGATTTAAAAAAAAGATTGGAAAATTTTGATATAACGATTTGAGATTAATATATTTAAAATTTAAAATCAATATAAATTTAATTAACATTTTAAATTTATTTGATAATTACTGATAATTATTCACATCCATGAATTTTTGTTGAATCTTCCGTTATTAAAAATTAAAATTTTTAAATTATATAATGTTATTTTGTTAAATATTTTAAATTATTAAAAGTTATAAAATGATATATAATTTTAGGACATTGTTTGTTGAGTCTTTTAACCATTAAAAGTTACAAAATGGTCATTCGATTATTCTTAAATCATCATTTTTCTTTATAAACTTACGATCATATGAGATGGGTATTAACTTATTGTTTGTGATATGATAAAATATGATCCCAAAATCGTGTGAGTTTTATTTTATGGATCTACTCTGTTTACATTATGCCATCAAGTAAATGCTTAACACATTACGTTGTCGAGTCAATGCTTGAAAGCAACGGTGGTGCCACTAGATATCATTAAAATATGTATTATACATTAATTAATAGGTTAAAATCAAACTCATAAAGCTAACAACTTTTAAGCAAAAAAGAACAAGTTTGAAATATATGAATAGTCGGGTGACTATTTTGTAACTCTTAAAAGAAAATTTAACAAAACAATATCTTACAATCGATGAACCATTTTGTAACTTTTAATAGTCGGATGACTCAACAAAACATCGTCATATAATTAAAGAACCATTGATTTACTTTATCTAAAATCTTATTATAATCATTAACGTTATCAATTTATAACAATATGAATATAATATCATTAATATTTTGGAGAATGGTTGATTGATATATAATCTTAAGATATTCCGAGTTCAATAAATTTTAAATTTATAGATATTTGAATTTGGATTTTATTTAATTTAAAATTGATATTTACTCTATTAAAATTTTAAATATATTTGATAATTATTAATAATTATTTATGTTGATAAATTTTAATGAGAGTAAATTTCACCACCAATAATTAGAGATGACAACTGGTCGGGTTGGGTCGGGTTTTTAGTCAATTCGACTTGATCTGAAAAATATATACACTCCACCTAAACTTGGCCCAACCCAAAAAATATTTACCTTTCACCATATCTGATCCGACTTAAAAAATAAATATCTTCCCCTTGACCTGGTCTGACTCGATATAAAAAAGTTAATTAAAAAAAATAATAGAGAGGAGAGGTATTATAGGAATCCATACATTTATTTGAAGACATTGCACTATTACTTTCATTCATGTCAGGTTAGAGTTTTTCCATCCTCTACTCGAATTTAACCTCATTCATTTATAAAATTTGACCCGACCTAACTCAAACCTAAAATTATTTTTAAAAATATCCAATCCTATTAGGTTGAGAGAGAATCTGTCAAATTCATATTAAATTGCCTCCCTACCAATCACTAAGGGTGCGTTTGGTTCACGAAATATAAGATTATCAGTGAGAATAAAAAATTACCAGAGAATATGATTACTAGGAATGTTGTATTTTGTGTTTGGTTGGTTTAGCAGGAATGTAAGATTATCGTGTTTGGTTAAAGAAATAAAATATTATTGGAATGTATATTTGATCAAATTATCCTTATTATATATTTGTTTTTTAACAAGTTGAAAAATATATATATATTTTATTTAAAAAAATTAAATTCATAAAATTTATATTTTTTTACAAAATTGAAAATATAAAAAAGTTTAATGAAAGGGTAAAATTTTATTTTAACCCCTAAACTTCATATAAAATTTTAATTATAGATTTTTTTTTGTAAATCTAAAATAGTTTAAGGATAAATTTATAATTAAACCTTCGTAGAATTTTTATTATTCAATGACAGAATAATGATATTTTTGAAAGAATTTTTTAAGGGCATTTTAGTCCAAAATGCCAGTAATACAACAATACCTAAGGAAAGGGAGATAATGACATTCCAGGTAATATACCCCAAAAAATTCACTATTGGTAATGTAAGATTACCGAGAATGATATTTTCGGCCAACCAAACGGGAGAATGTGGATTCCATTCCCATAAGAATCTCACATTCCCCAACCAAACGCACTCTAAATTTTTGGGATGATTTTTTTATTATTATTTAACTTTGAAAAGTTAGATTACAACTACTAACGTTATCAATTTACAATAAGATGATCATTCAGTCGTTCATGTACAAACCGACACCGTTTTAATCCTTTAGACAAAACGAGGGACTTAGGGAGTTGTAAGTTGTGTAACTCAAAAATCTTTCGATTTTCCTTATCTTTCGTATTTTCTCTCACTTTCTCGCAAGGGTTTCCAGTTTTCTCTGATTTTTTTTTACCGTTTTGATTCCACCCAAACAGCGCCTTCAGCTGAACCCGTCAGAAATTTAGATCCCTCTCTTCCAAATAAAACCCTAAATCTGGTTTCAACAATGGCTACGACTTCGAATGGCCCTGACAACTCAGGTTCTTTTTTTTTCATGGTTTTTGTTTAAAAAAAATACAAAATCAACTCTTTGGTTACCCTTTTGCTTATAACTAGGGAAAGATGTTTTTACTCCATCATTTCGTTTAATTAACTTCCAATTTGACTGGGATCTTTCTTTCTAATTGGAATTTTCGTATGTATGTTTATTCATTGGAATTTAAGTTGTTATGCATGAGAAGGAAAACATAGGATCGGATTGAGTTATAGTATTATGTTTACCAATTAAAAGATACCAATTGCAATAGTTTGTGTATATTGGAGAATATTGATGTATGGGTCTTTGTCTTTTTCTGATATTTTAACGAAAAAGATTGTTTTTTATTCTTTGATGTTTCAGGTGATGTAAATGGAAAAGAGGGAACAGTGAACGAGTCTGGGAAAGAAGATGCTATTGCTTTGAATTCGGAGCTGAGTCCTGAAAATACTGGTGAGTTATTAATATGATTTTCTTAGCTTAATGTTCCCTCAATGATCCAGTTTTTGCTTTGTTGAGAGTGAGAATTATGTTTATCATATAAATTATTGTTGTTGTTTTTCGTTATGATAGAGACGAAATCACCCGTGGAGGCGATGTGGGAGCAAATGAATAAGGGAATACCTAAGAATGCTCTGAGACAATTCTCAAGCAGTAAAACCTCGGCCACAAATAAAGCTTCAAATGTGAGCAGATCGTATGCTCTTCCTGTTTTTAATGAAACTGCATGCTGGATGATAGCTGTGTTGTGTAGTAATGTTTTGCCTTTCTTTGTCTCGTAGAATTGGATGAGCTATCTGCAAATGAAACCGGCTGCACCTGCAGGGGCTCAAGAAAGACAGAAAGAGGTGAAGGCTTCAAGTGTGACCAAAGAGACCGATGTCCTGAATAAAGATAAAGCATCGAAGGAAACTACTGTGGTGCAGAACAATGTCAGTGATGAGGCGAAGAAGATTGCTACGGCTGCACTCTCAGCTGTGAAAGACGCTGCTGCCGCTGCAGCTGCTGCTTCGAATAGGGGGGAAATTGAGGTAGGCAATTAGAAAATGTGTTTGCCATGGAATTTTATGGTTTATTGGAGCATGCAAGTATGTTTATGGACCTCTTACTTTCCGTCAAGTTGGATTCTAACTTAGCTTCAAAATTATTGTCTTTAACAAAATGTTTGATCTATGTTTCAATATTTGAGCAATCCAAATGTCTGGAGATGAGTAAACAGCAGACCTGAGCAATGTTCTTAATTTGATCTTTCCCTCTTGCAGATAAGTGAGGTTCGAGACTTTGCCGGTCAAGATATTGAAATAAAAAAGCGAATTCAGGCTGATTCGAAAGAAGCAGCTGATAAAGCAAAAGGTACACCTTCTGCAGTAGATGCCATTCTCGAACAAATCAAGAAGAAGCCAAAGCTCAGTGTGCTCGACAAGACGAAAAAGGATTGGGGAGAATTCAAGGAAGAAAATAAGGGGATGGAGGATGAATTGGATGCATATAAGAAGAGTTCAAACCAGTATTTGGATAAGGTTTCTTTCTTGCAGCGGACTGATTACAGGGAATTCGAGAGGGAGAGAGATGCAAGGCTTGCTCTACAGGCTAGGAGGAAACCGGAAATGCGGGAGGACCCTTGAATGCATACAACCTAAGTTGTGTTTTATTGCATCATCATGCCGGAAGCTTCCGTAAGAAAGAGTTGTTTGAGAATTGTGCAGGGGCCTTTTGTTCCCATGATTAGAATGGAACTCTTTAGCTACATTTCCAACTCATCTGTGTTTCAAATAAATGTTTTTGTGGTCTCACTTCTCGAGTTCTTTCCCACTGCCGATCACATATTATTACACAGCACTTTGCTTGTAGTGTTTGCATCTCCTGGATGTCATATTTCTTTTAAAAAAGAACATCACCAATGCCAGTTAATATGCAAAGTTACAAGTAGGGTTGCACAGAAGTCGGATTTCAATCCGATCCGGATCGGTTTTTATCCGATCCGGTTTTTTCCCATAGAAAAAAAAACCGGTTTATAAAATAACCGGTTCGGTTTCTAACCGGTTTGGAGGGCCGGATATCCTAACCAGTGTAACCGGTTTCGGTTTAAAAAAAAACGGTTTTTTTAAAAAACCGGTTATAAAAAAACCGATTTTAATATTATTAAAAATTACATCGTCATCAATTGCAACAAAGTTTACGATAATTTGTTGAAAACATTTTGATATTTCGATATAACAAATTAAGTTAAATGAATTTTAAGATTTTCCAAATGATTTTCTAAGTATATTCGATATAATTATTCGAATATCAAAACATTACTCCAAATATTTCAAAAATTATTTTTAATCCTTACTTAAGTGTAAAATTAAGTTTTAATCTTAAAACAATTTCAAAATAATCTTTCAAAATATTTCGAACAATTTCAAAGCCAAAAATTCCAGATTGCTCAGAGGGAACCGATTCCCCCCCAAGGGGGTACCGATTCCCCCTGAATAGTTTGGCTCCGAGATTTCCAGAATGCTCGGAGGGAACCGATTCCCCCATAGGGGGTACCGATTCCCCCTATTCAACGGTCGAAATATTTGAATTTTACACTTAGGGAACCGATTCCCTATGAGAGGGTATCGATTCCCCCCACGCTCCAAGCATTTTTATTAAATGTTTTCACACTTAAACGGCTATATTATCTTCATTAATTATCCCTAACGTTCAGAAGTGATTCAAGGTGTATTTAAGCAAGCTTAGAAGCCATTGATCAAAGACAAGAAACATCAAGCAACTAGAATCAAGAGAGAATCAAAGAGAAAGCATCAAACCTCAAGTTTGAGCATTTCAAGCCTATTTTCATTCAATATTCATTTTGCTTTCAAGAACACATATTGTGCTCAATTGTATTCATCTTTGAGTGTTCTTTTCTTTGTTATAGAATTGTGCAAACAATCTACCTTGTGAGGATTTCTTTGTAAGTTTGTAAATTTGTATTGTTCTCTTTGGGAGATAGTTTTTTCAAGAATTTGGGGTATAATTCTTGAGGGTTTGTAAGGTTACTCTTTGTCCTCAAAAGAAAGACAAATTAGTGAATTTGTGGAAAATCCTTAGTGTAGATAGCTAAGGTAGTGGACGTAGACTTTGATTGAGAAAGTCGAACCACTCTAAATCGCTGTGCATATCTTTTCAATTTTCTGCAAAAGCTTCCACCGAAATTTTAATTGCCAATTCACCCCCCTCTTGGCCGATTCCGTCGATCGATTAACTCAACATAATTGAAATACTTAAATACTTCCAAGTTTGATAAATTCAAATACTTAAAAACTTCCAAGTTCGATAAATTAAAATACTTAAAAACTTCAAGTTCGATAATTGAAACAAAGTTTACGATAATTGAAATAAAGTTTAAAAATAAACTACATTGACATCTCTTCTTCTTCATCTTCGTCTTCTTCGTTTGGAGGGGATATTCCAAGTTCGACTTCTTCAATGTATAAGTTTGCTTCCAAATCGGCATCAATTGCATCTTCTAGGGTGGTGATATGTTACTTACGAGCCGCTCCATCCAAATAATCCTTTAAACAAATGCATACTTCCACCGACTCGGGACTTAGTATTGATCTCCGTTGCGATATAACCCTGCCACTAACAGAAAAAGCGGATTCCGAAGCTACCGTAGAAGCTTGGACGGTTAGTAAATCACGGGCTATGGCGGCTAGAATCGGAAATTGTGCTTCCTTTTCTTTCCACCAAGCCAAAATATCCAAACTTTCAAACTCTTCAAATGTCATTTTTGATAGAAAATCGCATGACATGTAATTTCCTAACTTGCTACTTGGGGTGGTAGTACGTGATCGTTTGGATTGAGAATTTACAAGAGTGTTAAAAAGATTCAAATTTATGTTACTTGGACGTCTACTAGATGATTCCGCATTCATTCTCATTTTGATCGTGTATTACACTACTTGATCCGTATTTAGTTAAATAAATTGCAAACATGTCTCGAAAATATTTGTTAAAATAATTTATTTGGTTTTGGACAAAGTTGGGTTCATCATCGGTTAGATTAAAAGCAAACGCAATTTGTTAAATTATTGTTTCAACCCCGCCAACATTTAACGTTGGGTTTAAAGCGGCGGCACAAGTAAAAATGGGGGGAATCTCCTTAAAATATTTTAAAAGTTTTTCCTTCATTGCAAAGCCAATTTCTTGAAAAACTTCAGTTTCAAATTCAAAGTCATTTAGTCGGGTAGCCAACAAAAATATTTGATTAAGAACCAACGGGCTAGTAGGGTAATAAACACCGGATAAAAAAGTTGTTGCATTTTTAAAAACCCCAAGCAAATCGGTTATTTTGGCTATAGTTTCCCAACTCGAATCCGGATAAATGTTTGGGACATGACCCCTCTCGAAAAGCCGATCGTGAAATGTTTGCAATGTTTCCCTTTGCCTTAAGGCAGTATGCATCATCATCCAAGTTGAGTTCCAACGAGTTGGACAATCCAAATTAGGACCCAAAGTTTTTTTATTAACGGACTTACAAAATCGTTTATAATCATTTAGTCTTTTGTTGTTGTTACAAAGAACCAATTTTATCATTGTTTTAAATTCTAATCTAATCGGCTCAATAACCTCCAAACCGGCTTGCATGGATAAATTAATTATGTGTGCAACGCAACGGGTATGAAAAAACGCACCGTCTAAAATCGGTGAAAGTAATATTTTCAATCTTGGAACCGCGTTTGTATTATTCGATGCATTATCAAAGGATATAGAAAAAACTATATTTTCTAATTTATAAAGACAAATTACCCTTTTTAAAAGTGTAAATAAATTAGCACCGGTATGCGGCTCACCGAATAATTCAAACGCGATTGTTCTTTTTATCATTTGCCAATTATCTTGATCTAACAAATGTAACGTAACGGCTAAAAAAGAATTTCCGGTATTATGAGGGGAACTCCAAACGTCACATGTAAGCGACACACCATAACGGTGTTCTTGGAATCCTAAAATCATTTTTTCCCTCGCCGTACGCCACATTTTTATAGCATCTCTTCTAAGGGTAGTTACTTGAGTATAACGTGGTTTAGTTGTTAAATTGTTGTCGTGAAATCTTCATCATCAAAGTAGTCGAACGGCAATGCTTTTGTAATCACGAACTTTGTAAACGCTTCTCGTAATTTTTCGTTGTCGTAAACAAAAACACCACCTTGCGGTGTAAGATTCGATTGACTAGGATCCGATCTTGAGCGAAGTGCCTTTCATGATTTTGTCAAATGGTTCTTCAACGTTGTGTTTCCTTCCGATGCAAGAAACTTTAGACAAAGTTTACAACGCGTCCTCCTCGAGTCATTTGACATCTCACATAAATCGTAGTGATCCCAAATATCTTTGTTTCGAGTGTGTTCGATCACTCTCACGACTTCAAGGTTTCCCCCGACGGAAGATTCAGCCGTGTTACTCATGATGAACAAAAAATTACAAAAATAAGATTTGAGAGATGTTTAGGTGTTGTGTAATAAGATTTGAGAAAGTTGTAATCAACCAAATACATCATCAACCTATTTATACATGTTTAAGGTGGTAAAATGGTAATTTTTTAAAGAAAAAAAGGGTCAAAAATGGTCACAAAACCCCCCGCAACGGCTATATTAACGGCTAGTTTTTTAAACCCAGACCGGTTTTTTTTTCGGATAAAAACCGATTTTCTTCAAACCGATTTTTTATCCGGTAAAAAAACCGGTCTAAGTTTTTTTCTCCAAACCGGTTAAAATAACAAGTTTAAAAAAATCCGATCCGGTTTAAAAAAAACCGATTTTTCCTAAATCCGGTTTCGGATATTTTTTTCGTAAAATCGAATATTCGGATTTTTTGTGCATCCCAAGTTACAAGCATTAGTATAGCTTTTCTACAACATGGTAGTGTTTACCAACGTAAAATGCGAGTTCCTTTCTCGTTTAAACATATGTTGCTTCGATAAATAAATGTAAATCATCTGAACCAGAAATATGCTTCAAGGTATCAAGTTATTAATTGCAGATCAATGATCAAAGAGATGACTGAACATGCTTAGTTATTCTGCCACCATGAATATGTGAACAATAAATGGCAAATGATGTCTATTCAAGCATGCCATCTGCTTCATGTAAGAACAAACAAGAAAATGAACAGTTTGTGCTGACTGCTGCCAGTCAATCTCGAAAATTATCAAACATAAATCAAAATGGAGTATAACACGTAAAACTTTCAGATTTCTAGATGTGAATTGGCTTGTCATAGGTGGCCATTGCAGCTTCCTTCAACGCCTCGCTCATTGTAGGATGTGCATGGCACACTCGTGCGATGTCCTCGCTTGCTGCATCATAATTAATGGCAAGGACTGCTTCGTGGATGAGCTCTCCTGCATTTGGTGCCATGATATGGACTCCAAGAATTTTGTCCGTCTCCTTGTCAGCCAATATCTTGACTATTCCTTCAGCATCGTCAATAGCCTTGGCTCGGCTATTTGCCAAGAAAGGGAACTTCCCAACACGATAGTTGAGACCAAGTGCCTTAGCCTGCTCCTCGGTCTTCCCGACAGATGCAACCTCAGGATGAGTGTAGACAACTCCGGGGACCTTGTCATAATCAACATGGCCATGTTTACCAGCTATAAACTCCACACAAGCAACACCATCTTCTTCTGCTTTGTGAGCCAACATAGGCCCTGGAATTACATCCCCAATGGCATAAACACCAGCCACATTTGTAGCAAATCTATCATTGACTAAGATCCGTCCGGCCTTATCAGTTTCCACTCCTATCTTGTCCAAGCCAAGTCCAGATGTGAACGGTGTTCTACCAGCGGAGACAAGAACAACATCAGCTTCAAGTGTGGTCTGATCGCCACCAGCAGCGGGTTCAACTGTCAACTTCACCCCATTTCCAGTAGTATCAACACTTACCACCTTAGTTTTGAGCATGAATTTCATCTTCTGCTTCTCAAGTGAACGTTGGAATTGCTTGCGGATTTCTGCATCCATTGTTGGAACAATATCTGGGGCAAACTCAACAACAGTAACCTCTGACCCCAATCGGGCCCAGACTGAACCCATCTCAAGCCCGATGTAGCCTGCCCCAATGACTATGAGTTTCTTAGGGACTTCTGACAACGCTAAAGCTCCAGTTGATGACACAATCCTCTTCTCATCAATGGTGATACCAGGTAAAGATTTAACATCAGAACCAGTGGAAATTATGATATTCTTGCCTTTCACAACAGTATTTTCACCTTCAAGAGTGTCCACAGAAACTTCAGAGGGATATGAACTTGCCATAGCCTTTGACATAGTTCACCTTGTTCTTCTTGAATAGACCTTCGATACCCCGGGTAAGATTGGACACGGCTTTGTCCTTTTGGGCCATCATCGCAGGCAAATCAACCTCAACAGAGGAGAGTTTCACACCGTGGCTAGCGAACGAATGCTTAGCTTCATGATACATGTGGGATGAATGAAGAAGTGCCTACATAGTTACAAAAAAGAAAAATGCAGCATTAGAAAAACAAAAAACTCTTAAGGCAACTAATAAAGTTCATCTCAAGAGGCTTGCAGTAATCAAGTAGGCATTTTCAACCTGAGTTTATTGAAAGAGAACAGTAAAGATGAGATAGTTTCTCTTCAATTTGCTAAAACAAATATTTCCCCAAAAGGAAAATGTATACAATAAGCAAATCCCATTTTCAATATTACAGATAGAACATCATATCAGCTTTCTATACATTTCACCATACAATTCATGACCTATCACAATCTTAAAAAGACAAAAACAAAAGAACCCATGGAAAAAAATCCAAATCTTACTAAAGATTTATAATCAAAATCGATTATGCAATTATGATTTTTTTAAATAATCCAAAATTGGAACCGCGGAGCATATATACCTTAGAAGGAATGCAACCAACGTTAAGGCAAGTCCCACCAAGGGTACCGCGCTTCTCGATACAGGTAGTCTTGAGACCCAGCTGTGCAGCCTTGATAGCCGCAACGTATCCGCCGGGTCCGCCGCCGATGACGACGACGTCGTTCTCTTCAGATCCTGAGGCAAATCCCCTCGAGAAATTGGTGAGTGAAAAAGAGTACTTCAACGCATCCGCAGGCGAATTCGACAGGTTTCTAGACAACAGTATGCCTTTCTTCTGCCAAGCTTGCCAAGCCATTTTCTTTCACTCTGGTTGGTGTATGAGAAAACCGTAGAGTTAATCTATGAACAAACAAACATGAATGGAAGTTTGGTTATATTATTTGATCAAAAAAGCTTGCTTCTTTAGACTTTTAGGGCAATATTTTATTGTGTTTTATCAAATGCCCATTTCTGCTTCCTCAAATATCTCTTATTTGTTGGTCATTGCCTGCGGCGGCTTACACGAAATATATGTGTTCTACCCAATACCAAAATGACACTTTTAAGTGAAGGATCTAGAAGTTGGCAACTGTTGATTTAGTTGACCATTAGAGATTGACTCTCGTGGGTTCGAATGTCTATTTTACTCTCTATTCTCTATGTTTAAGTACAATTTCTCTCAATAACATATATATTTTTTAAATTAATCATTGGTATTCGATCTATCGATCAACTAATCCAGATCAGTACTGTATAAACGAATGCACAATAACATAATTTTTTAAATTCCAACTTAAACTCTTTCTTTTTAGAATAAAATTTGTCTTATCTTATGAAAGAAACCTTAAGAACTTAGATGATATTTTCTTGATGTATTATTGAAATATCAAACATTTATATTTTCATAAAACCTTAAGAACAAATTTGTTTAACGTATTCATATTAAATCAGGTTGAATCAAAAACATATTTTTATTTTAAAACATAATATGGTGAAAATATCACTAAATGTCAAGACAATTTTCAGTTTTAACCGAAGAGTTTTAGAAGAAAAAAATTAACCTATTCTAGTTAGGACCGTAAATGAGTTGAGCATAATTTCATTTGATTCTAAAAGTGTAAAGTTGAGCTCTCAATTCAAAAACTCACAAGTTTAAATATTTCAAGCTCGACTCATCAAAGTTATGGTGCCCACTATCCCAGCTTTGACAGCAACAGGAAGATTTAAAGAGTTTAGTGCCTCTGCCTTCAATTTTAAATCTTTGAGGACAACATCTCCTGTAGGAAGGGAGAATATTTTGTAAAACGGTGTCATCATGTTTCACTTCTCAAGTTGCTTTCATAAGAAACCATCGTGTAACAACTGTAGCTCAACATATGTGGAAAAACAAGAATAAAGAAAAATAAGCAAGAACTAACAGTATTTGTGAAGAAACCTGCCAAACACTGATCCTTAATGTCTCTAATGAGAGATCATGAACACTCTCCCAAGTATTTCGAATCAAATGCAGAACCTACAAATAAGGAACAATATGCACGATTCATAACATTGAAAGAAAGCTAGAAACATCTTATACTATAACAAGTGCCGACTGTCGTAAAGCACCATTATAAGTAGTGACAGGTGCACGCATAATGATTGAATACATGAATACGGGCAACAAGTGTAAATCAAACAGCCAGATATAACTGAATTTGCAAAAAAAAAAAAGTTGAGTCTAATTTACGGTTTTGTCACTCTTCTCTTATCATATCTACGCAGCTGTTATGTACTATGTGATGATCACCTCGCACCTCATTTCCTATTCTACTTAACAATGGTTTCAAATTATCTAATTAAAAACAAAACAACATTAAATTAGGTTCCCCCAATCTCCAAATTCTTAACATATACTAATGAACTATAACAATTTAATTGCCAATTGATGAATAAAGTAAAATCAAATTTTATAAGCTTCGGAGTTCTAATAACATTCTCCAGCTATATAAATTCAGTACGGTACAACTACTAACGTTAAAATTATATATACGTATACATATGTATATAATAAATAAAAAGGAGAATGGAAAGAAGCTTACCTGGGCTTCAAACATGACGATGATCACAATGCGGTTCGTCCCCGGCTAAAAACAGGAAGGCGAACCTGATTATTGTGTTTGAGTTGTGGAAATTGAGTGTGATGGGGGTCCAACAAAAGGCATCTCAGACAAATGGTTTTGAAATCGGATGGAATCAGGACTTTCGTGGAGGGGCGAAACCATTGATCGATTCCACTGTATACACCAACAGAAGCGGACGGTTTGTTGCAATGAAGGAAATGGGGGTAACAAACGGAAGAAATGAGAATAAAATTAGGAGCGTAAAAAAAATAAAATTAGAAAATAAAAACTGTTCTGCCGCCATTAAATTAAAGAGTAAATTACACAAATGGTCACCCGACTATAGGGTATTACTTTATTAAGTTATCTGATTATTAAAAGCTAAAAAATGATCCCTAACTATAAGATGTTTTGTTGAGTACCCTGACTATTAAAAGTTACAAAATAGTCACTTCACTATTTATATGTTCCAAAATCGACATTTTCCATTAAATAATTAATGTTCGTCTGAATTGAATGTTAACCTACTAACTGAGATATGATAAAATCGTATTTTAATAATGTCTACTAGCACTGTCGTTGCTTCCAAGCACTGATCGGCTAGTATAATGGTTCAAGCTTTGGCTCGATGACATAATATAAACATATATTAAATCCATAAAATAAAGTTAAAAAGATTATGGGATTAGATTTTATCATATCTCAGTTAACATGTTAACGTCTATCTCAAGCGACCATCAATTTTTTAATGGAAAATGATGAGTTTAGAATAAATAAATACTCGAGATATTCAACAAAACAACGCCTATAATTGAGTGACTATTTTATAACTTTTAATAATTAAAAGACTTAACAAATAATATTTTATAGTCAGAGAATCATTTGTGTAATTTACCATAACTTAAATTGCACGTCCATCACTAACACTGTAGTGATAAAATATAACAAACAATAGTGATATTGACATGTCATCATAAGATAATGTCACATCATCATTGAAAAAAATAAAATATCATGTCAACATTTCTATTAAAAGGTACCAAAAGGAAACATTCACTAAATATTAGACATAATTTAAAAAAAGATAAAGTTTGAGTATTAAAAAAAATAAAAATAACAATTTAGTACTAAACTAAGTTTACCCTTTAGAAAATCTATTAATCCATCAATTGTCAATTTCTTCACCCGTGATACACATAAACTCCAAACCCGTGAATTCTCGGATGACACGTGCCCGTTTTCATCTTGCCACTATCTACCAGATATCTGCACGTGAATTTTTGTTTATGTTGGAACACTGATACCAGTGGAAGTGTATCCGAATCGATAAAAAAAATTATCGAATTTAAACTTTTAAAAGTATTTTATTATTTAAATTTAAATCTTAAAAAAGTTTATTTTATTTTTAAATTTAAATACTAAAATCATTAAAAATTAAATTTATTGAAAAAATCAGTAAAAAACAATTTAATAAACAATTTTATACATCCTTAATTCTAATAAACTTAAAATTGGTTCTTTTTCGTTTTTTTCTGCCTTTTACGGAGGCCCCACGAGCTCGTAGCCATAAAGTGACCGGCCTGTTTAGTGAGGGGTGGGCCCAGGCAACAACAACAAGGTCCAGAACAAGCAATGGACCAATAGCGCAAGCGCGTGTAATCTACGGCAATCTTGCGTGTCAACCCCCAGCCACAAACTCTGCAATTCAATGCTTTTTTGTCCGTCGGGAATAAGGAAAAGTATTCCTGTCGATTGTGTTAAATAATTTTTTTTTTGAAATTTTAGGTTGTTTAACAATATTTGTATATTTCTTAAAATTTTATTTTATTTTACTTATCTATAAGTTTTTTTTATTAATACAAAAATAAGTTTTTAAACTGTGCATCAAAAAACGTTTTAGTGCATAATTTTTTTTTGTTAAAAATATGTGTCAATGTTTTCTCCGTAATCATTTTAAGTGTTCAGACGTTAATCACAATTAAAAATCTCTATTAAGTTATACGTATCACGTTATGGTAGTTTTAATTTTTTTTATTTAAAATAAAAATATATTTAAAAAAACCTTAAAACTTTTCAAATCTTAAAAAAACCCAAAACTTTTAAAATTTTAATTTTAATCATGTTGCCACCGTCGACCGCCACCAATGCCGTTAATCGGCCTAACACCCAACGACATGTGACCAACCACCCACCCACGATCAAAACTCCCATATTTTTCGAGACTGGCCGAACACCCAAAATCGATCTAAATGAAAGATTTTGCTTTAGGGTTTTCGTTGTGAGTGGTTGATCAGTTACATATCGTTGGGTTTCGGCAGATTAACGACATTGGGGTGGCCAATAGTAGCAAATGAATTAAAATTAAGGTTTTAAAAGTTTTGATTTTCTTTTTAAGATTTGAAAAAAAATTAGGTTTTTTTAAATATATATATTTTATTTTAAATAAAAATTCTCAAAATTACCAGATTGTGACACATGTCACTTAACAGGAATTTTTAACGGAGTTTAACGCTTGGACACCTAAAATGGTAATGGATAAAACCTTAGACGCTTGTTTTTAACGAAAAATTATTTAGACACTAAAACATTTTTCGAGGAATAGTTTAGACACTTATTTTGTATTAAACCTTTTTTTTAAATATGATTTCAGAAAATAAATTTAAATTTATCAAATATTTTAGAAATATTTATATCCTATTATTTTTATAATTTTATGACATTTTTGAAAATTTCATTCGGATGACATGCCATTGAAGATGTGATTTTGAGGCGGTATTTTTGATGAGGAATGGTTTATTTAGGGATTGATATAAGATTCGAATTTGATGGATTATCATCTAACTTAATTTTATGAGATTAACGTTTTTTTTTTAAATCGAGTTTGAGTCAGTTTGGATTAGTTAACAAAAAGATAAGATTGGATAAAATCAGGTTTGAATTTGAGTTTAAAATAAAATATTTTGAGCCGATTTGATTTGATATGAGATTATCCCTTATATATTTAAAGATAATTGCAATAATCTCTCATCTCTCTATTTTTTCAACTATATATCTATTTCACTGTATAAAAATACAAATTATACATACACATATTTTTATTGGGTCAGATCAAATAAAAAAAAATTATTCTAAAATTCAGATCAACTTTTGAAATCAAGAAAGTTAAAAAATAGTGTAAATCTCAAATTTCAGTTTATTTTTTTAATTAATATGTGATAAATACAATGCAATATTTGTTTCAAGATAACTCTCAACATCCCGATATTAAATGTTCACACTCCTAATAATTATGGTGCTCGAACCCGAAGTCATCAATGAATAACAAAAATTCTTTTACCACAAAAACTAATGGTTCGTGTTCAAATTTCAGTTTACATTAACAAAATAAACGTGCACTATATGCACTCTCAATCTCACTAAATCCCCAACTTTTGAGCCCTTTAAACCCCACCCGTGAACCCTTGCATGCATAACGCCATTCCCTTCATCAAAGAGACAAAGACTGACCTCTATAAAAAGCATCAGTCTTAGGCTTAACCCAACCTACATCGTCACCCATTCTTCTAAGTTCTAACACTCCACATCTGCTTTTTCTTCAACAAGTACCCATGCATGCATGTTGCAGCTCGTCAACAGCACTTGTGGTTTGATTTGCCTATATTGTCAGGTAACTTTTATTAACACTTTGATTACGATTATGATGTATAGACTAATCGTCCTCTTGAAAATTTAAAATTATTATATATTTAATTTTTTATGTATTTTTTATTGGAAATATAATTTCACAGTTAGAATTTTATAAATTATCTCATCTTAAAATTTTAAAGGCTCAATCTTAACACAAAATCATACATTCATCCCTGATATGACTTCCGAAAAATATAAATTCATATGTTATTATGTTATCTCCCTACGTTATCGAAATATGAAAATATTGATTTATCAGGATACACCTATATGTACAAATCTTTTGGTCTAATGACATTTTTATCATCATTTTAAATCCTATTTAACTTAGCCTTCCTCCTGTCACACTTTTAGGTTTAATTACTTAACATGTCACTTATTTTTTGAAGTTAAACAATTTGATCCTCTAACTATTTGATCTTGGTTTCGTCTCCGATGGTAAATAAGAATAGTTATGGGAATGGTTCTGATCTGACACGATAAAATATTTTTTTAAAGTTTGATTAAATTTGGGTTTTTTTATGATAAAATTGAGTTGAATTGAGTTTAAAGTGAAAAATCTTTAACCGACTCAAGATAATAGTGTAATTATCCCTTATGTATTTAGGATAACTGCAATAATACTCTCATCTCTATATTTTTTAATCCGCTCTCTATTTTACCAAATAAAAATGAGAACTATATATATATATATATATCAAGTCGAGTTGAAGTTGAGTTTTTATCTCAAAAATCATATTAAGTAAATCTATTTAAACTTGAATCGAGTCAAATGACAGGTAAAAAATATAATATTTGAATCTTCGAATACGAAAAAAATAGTCTGACTTAATCCATACTATCGTTAGATAAGGCATGTTACACTTTTGACGGAAAATGTATACTCGAACTCAGAGAGAACAATTCACCAAAGATATCTTAATCCATTGGTTTATTGGAAGGGTTTTTTTTTTCTCTTGAGGTTAGTTTTCGTCTAATGGGCCATATATAGACTTGGACTGACCCTGAGTGGTTTAATTCTGTTGTCGTCCACTGAGTACAATGTTTCCTACTGCTCCACATATGGCCATAAAGAGCTAAACAACAACACAGAGTCACGAGACTTGTTGCTTTTGCATTAACCAAAATGAAACCCCCCATTCTCATCAACAGATTCCCATTGTTGTTGTTTATTCATCATTTTTGTGTTTCCCATGCCCACATTAGTCAAACCAGCTAGCTTTCCAGAGATTTCTCAAACGTGTAAGTAACCTAAATGGACTCACATGAAGATCAATGCAGACAAATTCTATAGGGAATTAAAGGTGGTGTATGTTCACAAGCTTACAATAAGCTTGACCGTGGGAATTTTTGTGATGGAGTCGATTTTAATTTTAATATTCTCAAATTATTTGATTTGACAATTTTGGTGTTGATCATTTTGGATTTGATTATTTTGTGTTATTGAAAGGTACATGTTAAAAAAACATAATGTTAAACTAGCCTTCAACGTGGTTTGAATGAACATTTTAGCTCCTATTCATTTAAT